TTGGTATACAGAGTACGTCTTGGGTCATTAAAAAGCATACTTGAAACATATTGAATCAGATACGAAGTGCGATAAAGGACGAAATCACGCTTCATATGTCAAAACAAGAGAAGAATTTCTTCTCCATTTAATAGAATAAAATGTTTATCTCTCTAGCCGGAGGGCACAGATTTTTGTTTCTAGTAAACAGTATTTACGAATGTTTGAAATAGTTAGATTTTATCCATGGTCTAAAGTTGCGGTTATTATTTTTTTTGTCAGAAAAAAAGGCTAATAAACTCAATTTCTAATGGAACAGGGTTTGTATATTAAAAGATTAGGATGATGTGATTATATTTATTAATTCAACGGATAATATTATATAATTAAATGAGCACGTGTAAAGGTGGTCTGGTTTCTGATATTTTCTACATAACTTAATATGTAAGACAAACTAAATTTCTTAGTGATCATAATTGATTATTGGTAGTTTCGCTGTTTTACATATTCCATAATCTTTAATTTTTTCTTTCAAATATATACAATATATACTATTTGTTTCTCTTGTGTGATATTGAAAAAAAGGTTAAATGTAATAAGTTAATGGTCCAATTAAACAAACACACACATTCCACTTGGTCGGTAACTTATTTAAGTCAATTTTAATTTTCTTTTGTCGAAGTACTTACGTACGTATTATGTCTTTCTTACATATATCATTGAAATATTTTATTAAATGACCAAAGTAATAACAACACAAAAGTCCTTAACGCCGCCAGCTGTAATTCGGGAGGATAAACGAAACATCAATCGTGCGGCAAATAAGAAGAATAACTACTGGACAACGACTTGGTCAAACATTGGTCTGAATGGTCAATGGGTTGGTAAACATATCGCCTGCCTGTTACGTGTTAATCCGATAGGACAAAACAAGGTAAAACAGACAAATTGTAACTGGTAAATACTCTATAAGGTCTGTGTGTGAACGGGTGGCACTTCTGTTTGGCCGGGACACCTAGGTCGTTTGCAGTATAAACAAGGATTTGTTAAAAGCTTGATCGGGGCAAATCTTTACAAAAGGCGAGTAAACGTTGACGTTTATCTGGAATTAAAGCCTCTTTGACCAGTCTTTTTAGTGTCGTTCCAAACCTCAAACACGACGGGCAAACATAATTGATTTGGAGGTTCTGAACACACTTTTGATAATGAAGCGGTCGATTGTGCTGGCATCCTACTGGTTAGGATATTAGCTTCATCAATGCGTAGAATGAACACTTTACACATGGGTAATAAACACATCAATCAACCTTGCTAATTAGCTAGTTTAATAAACGAATACGAGTTTTCAAATCTAAGACCAACATCTGTTTAGAGTTACAAATATTTGTTATATTTGATCAATTCTTCCATTCGCTAATGTAAAATTAGTGTTTACCAATATCTGTAGTTAATAATTATTATCATTAAAAATTTATTCATTAAAACCTTTTTTCTCTCAAATAAGATCCCTCTTAATCGATATCAGTTTATTGTTGTATAATGTATTACGGTTCCTGTTAATTTAATACCAGTCTTTTGTTGTAAATTTGATTTCAATATTTCATACTTGAACGGTAATATTTGTATTTGATAAGTTATCCGTTTGCTGTAAGGGTTAGCAATTAGCTATTGAGCAGCTAGTCATCAATTGATATATCGAATACTTAACCATCGATGCTCTGTTTCACTCTCTTAAAGCAAGACTGTATAAATTACCCGTGCCCCTCGCGTGTAGAGAATATAAGACAATAAATTAGCGAACAATTAAGATTAATTTGTCATTTATACCGTTACCAGCCAATCTTGTGCCACGAGTCGTTTTAGTTTAGCTTGAGAGCCCCTACAAGAAGATGACTACGTCTTCTTCCGTCTCAGCATCAGCTACACTGATTGACAATCTCAATGCGATTTAATTCAAAAGTATTGTCAACATTGTCAATTCTATGAGTGAATCATTAAAATATGTACATTTATATATAAGGTGGGAAAATACTGAAAATGTTTGATGTAAATACGCAATAAAATTGAAAAAGTAAAGGAATTGAATCGAATATAACTGTTATAAGTAGAATATAGTTTTATAAGGTTTCAGAGAACCAATATTTAAGCTGACTTAGTCATATAGTACAGACTATGAGTTTGATGTTTATGGAAGTGCGACCTTATCCCAACAACAATCATTTCCGGAAGAATGTTCACGGAGTCGGCTTCGGGGGCTAGACTCCTGCCTATTATCCTCACTACGGCAATTTCCCTTCATTTGGGTACAAGTAATTAGTGTTACAATGAATGATATGAAAGGGCCATTAGTTTCAGGAAATACAACGAGAAAGTTGCTGGCCTCTTGATTCAAACCACTGTTAATGGATTTTGTTATCGAGGGATAATAATACTCCCTATAATTCTTACATTCTTAAACACATCAATTTGTTATACCGATTCAAGAGACATGATCAATTACCCGGAGTGGCCTCGCCTGTAGCCGAATTGCCAATTTCATCATTCCACAAGTCAGGTTTCGGGGAAATTCTATTATTATAGGTAATGAAGATATTTCACTGGTGAAATTGATGAAGCTTATGGAAACATTTGATGTAAACCCCCATAAAGAATATCATGAACAATGTTTGCAACTAATACGGCCATAAATAAGGTATAACAGTTCATGGATAGTCTATACGAGCAAGACCATCTTTAATCGATTGTCAAATATATATTTAGAGAAAATAGGGTTTCGGATATTTAGCAGCCTGTTAGGTCAGTTTTGGTGATAAGCTCTTTGTCTATCGGCATTACTCAGAAATAAGTCGTCTTTACTTGAGAAATAACCGAAATAAGTTTCTCCTTATTACTTTTTCTGTCGTTTAATTTTTTTCTCTCTATCGCCTCAAAGTTTTGATAAATAACCTCTTAAGTACCTAGAGTAAATCCAGATAATGACTTTCTATTTGTATAGCAGGTAACCTTTTAAAGAAAACAGTTTATCAATTTACCTGAGGCTACGTGGTCTAGGTGAGACTGTTAATGTTTTGTCACTTATTTCTAGTACTTTGTTTGGCGACAGTATGTACCAATCATGATAATGACCACTCGATGGTCCATAAGTGTCGAAATGAACCTCCGGACATAAATCAGTCACACAGATCTGTTGATGGATTATTGGTGGACAGTGATGAACCAATGTGTTCTTTACAAGTCTTTATGCTCTTCCGTCATCTGTCAATTTTATTCGTTCAGCAATAATTTTTGTTTCTTCTGTAGTTCTAAGCAAGGACACAACAAATAGAAAACAGATCCGATCTTTGCACCAAAATGATTGATATATCGATGGAATAATTGTTTTTACCTATGCATGATTGAATTCATGGAATATTTGATTAGCTTTTGTTTTATCACTGTGGCCTGTCTGTCTCGGCATCTCGTCAACACAATGTCAATGTATTGTAGATTTATTAATTTCCCGCTAGTTTGTGTTGTCCTCGTAAAATAGCGAGTCATACACCGTTTATATGTATGTATACGGATGTCGTTGGGTTTATGGTCGGTTATAACGTTTTTTTATCAACCATTGTTCTAACACGTTCATAAATGTCTCGCTTTCTATTGTTTTACAGCCGTCACAACAGAAGTGATTTACATTCAGTTCTAATGTGTATCGACAGAAGAAATATATATTATAGATTTGTCTTGTATCGAGACGGGCCAATCGATATCCATAATTATATAGTATATACATATTATATAGCATTATTTATCATAATGATATAATCATCACTGCATGATATTTATACCACATTAAAAGATGATTTGTGAATCAATTTCTTTTGAGACCAAAGGAATATTTATTAATTATTCATATTGCTTTTTTAAATCTCAGTATTTAATTTTTTGTTAAAATTAATGTTGCATCAAAAATATTTTTCCTATATGATCTTATTTGCAAGACATTATATAGAATATTAAATCGATTTAACTGTAATTACAAATATATGTTTTCGAAGCGTCCTCGATGTCTTTATATTATAGAATATTAATATTTTATACATGAAATAGTCATCCATTATGTAAATATTATTTTACAAAGTTATGCAAACTTAATTATCCTCATTATCAGTTTCAAACACACGTGTCATGATATGCTTAACTCTTAATAAGTGTTATGAAACAGACTCTTATACAATACAAAGTTATAAAACAGACTCGTATACATTACAAAGTTATGAAAAAAAATATTTGAATCAGACTTGAAAGAAACGTCTGGCACTTCTGTTAAACTTTTAAATATACTCTTTTTGGACATAGGTCATTTCAATTAATTCCTGACAGCCATCTTTTTTGTTGTACATTGTTTTAAATAAAACAGATATAAGATTCGTTTTGTATCTCAAACTATTCAAATTTCTCAATTAAATCTTAAAATTTTGAACAGAATATCAAGCATTTAACTCTAAATTTATATCTAAGCACCATTTCACATGCATAGATTTTTGAGGGTATATTTGTATATGGGTATCAAAGTACAGACAGTGTAGAGATCGTGACAAATACAAATGTCTGAGGTCTGTAGAGATATGTACTATGATTAAGTTGAATGACAGTAGTGAATGAAGAGTAAATTTTACGTCAGAATTTCTTTTTAAAAAATTGCACTTTTAAGTTTGATGAAATATAGTGGCAGGTTCATTTTGCACCTGTAAGTGAACCGTTGTGTCAGAAAGATTGCCTGACTTTTCAGTCTTTGAAAATGTTGGTATTGGTAAAACGCAGTCATCTTTTCATATGACATCTGTAAGTGGGAGAATTTGTGTGATATGCACTTTTCAAAAAGAATCTTACTGAACAACTACTCTGTAAGATCTCGGTAAAAAACAAATATGTTTCAGTTTACCTAATGTCTAGTCTATATGTGTACATATCAGCACTTCAGTGCAGCTTAAATATTATAAAATTTTCAAAATTGGTTGAATTGCATGAATACTGACCTGTACTCTAGATTCAACGAGATCCAGACGTAACGCTAGCGCTTCTCTCATGAACACATCAGGGTAATGACTGTCTTGGAAAGCTCGTTCAAGCTCCTCAAGTTGCCACCCGGTAAAATTAGTTCTAGTGCGCCGTCTTTTAGCTGATGGACTTTCCCTGTCTTCGTCATGTTTATCTGTTAGAAATATAATACAAAAACAATATAAACCAAAAATAGCCAAAGACAAAATCAGAGGTCAGAGGTGATACATGAACGTATGAGCCCGAAATGAAAGAAAAATGCATTCCCAAAAATATCTTAAGGTAAATAATAAGGTACATGGTATAGGGTTTTGATTATTCAGAACTGTATCTTTGACAAATATATAACCATTTATCTTCAATATTTCAAACTTTAAGACCGAGAAGCATAAATTGGTGTATTTTACCAAACACATACAGAGACAATTTTTGACTTAATTTATGTATATTGTTAGCAAACCATTATTAGATTTATTACGTGTAAAGAGTTAACTCATTTCATTGTTACATAATGACTGTTTGTAAATTCAACATATACTCATTATACTGATAGTAAAACCTTCTAGCTTTCATCTTTATGTAAAACAATGATTTAGTAATTAATACTTAACTAAATATATATGATACAAATATGTTATATATAGAGACGATATGTATAAGTAATTTGAAATCGTATTAACTACTTATGGCAATTTTGCTATATTTAATTATTAAGATACCGGTCTTTTTATCATTTTCAACATTACTGGATTAATTATTACAATAAAAACATTAAATATTATATCCATTATAATCTTGATATTGATATAATTATAGGTACTAGACTAAGAGTAATTATCTAATACTTTCCTGTGTAATCGTGTAATTTTCTTACCTAGCTTTACGACCAAAACGTGTCTTTATCTATAATGTTTTTATCTCATAACAGTCTATGACATAGCAGATAAAATCAGCAAAATAGCAATTCTCCAATTTACTAAATAACTTTGTAACTTATATCTCCCAGGCGAGTCTCTTTAACAATTATGTTATTAAATATATTATATTTCCCAACAAATGGTGTGACCATGTATGCCAGTTGTTTATTTACCTTTCTAATAATACATCTTAGAGAATATCATTAAAGAGAACCGACCCATACAATTTATAAAAGACCTTTAAGATTTTAATAATGTTTAATTCACTTAATAACACTTCATGATGTCTGGGACATGCCATGATTGTTAGGGTAAATGTCAGTTCATCAATTGAATCACTCTTTGTGAAAAAAATGTTAAAAACTAGTAAATTAAAGTATTATAAATAATTAAGATGATTGTCGTTAAGTTAAAACAGCATGAATAATAAGAGGGGAATTTATGAAAGCTTTAGTTAAAATAACATGTGTCTTTCATGGCCTTTTTAAAATGATATTTACTTAATAATTAATCTGTACTTGATTGTATCTCTTTGGACATGTGCATTTGAATTTGATTACGATTTTGATAAAGAGAAAGCAAAGGGCAATTTTCACGTTTAAACAACTACTGACATCATTCAATAGGTATCCCTTACCTTGTAACGAAATCAGTAAATATCGTACACATACTATTTTTTATCTGAGAGCTTATGTTATATGGAAATGATTCATCATATATATATTTCTAGTATAAACAATACGAACAAATGTCAATATCAATGTTTATAATGAGAGGTGTGTTAAAATATTAATACATATATTCTTTACAATCTTACCTGGAGATTTTAATAGGGTTTTATCTGACGATCCGGATAACGTATTATGTCTAGGAGAGGTTGAAGATGGTGACAACATTCCATCCATCGAGAAATTAACACGAGAGTTCGGGTGTCCATTGTAATCAAAGTGATACTGACTCCCAGCAGAATGAAGTCCGAGGGAGGCAAAAGGTCCCCCTAAATGTGCATAACCAGATAAGGTAGATAGAATCCCATATCCATGAGGATACCTTGCATCTATTAAACTTAGAGGTCCATTCATGATTCTTCGCCTATTCACCTGTGTGTTTTCACTATATGTCAACATACCGAGAGCGCCTGTGTTGCATTGATACAAGTCCGTGTCATATCTCTCATTAGATATACGCGAAGTGTCGGCTATGGAATTGACTCGGCCAATCAGACGCGAGCTCGACGGTGTCGACAAAGTGGGAGGGAAAGTTTCTCTCTCTCTCTACATGCATACCACGGCAAAATGTCCCCAAGCGGGCCAAGACTCTGTCTAAAGTATTAAACGAGAGCAAATTGTCTCGTTTTGATTGATGCCTAGATCGACAAGCCAGTATGGATAAGGTACGCTTCATTGCTTCTGGGCACAGTATACTACAAAAAAAGGTATATAGACTTTATAATAACAGGTATGATTTTAACAGTTCGATCATTAGATTTATGGTGTTATATTATTTATAATAAAAAGGTAAATAAAGTAAATAAAAAAAAGACTGGTGTTGAACGTTTGTTGGTTTTTTCCCCCTTATTTAAGATCAAACATGTCAACTTTATTATGACATATTAATAATGGGTGTAAAACCAATCGTTATTGGTGTTTTATAGACAAAGTAATATTGTATATATATACATACATATATATATATATATATTGTAGCCACTTTTATCGTCTGACATTTTTGATAATCCCTAAAAATTCTTTCATGTAGTTTGGAAAGTTTTATTGACGCTTGGGCCCCATTTTTCGTCATTAATGATAATACACAGGTAACAAAGTCCAGGTATGTCTCTGACCCGGCAGGTAATAGGGCACATTAGAAATATGCCGGATAAAATCTACCTTAATGATCGTATACAGGTACTTCTGGCTAGTCTGGCCTGACACTTGTCCGCATGGTTTCAATCAGAAAGGGCTAAATGTGACACCTGTATATAGAAATTGAAATAGATTATATGTCTGGTACATATGTTATAACCGGGTCCATCTGTAACGGTGTCTTAGATATGGAATCAACTTGCCATCTTTTCGGGTAATTGTTGCTTGAGTGTCACTTTACCTGTCAACAAATTGATGCACAAACAGATACTAAATATAAGAGAAGTTCGATAATGCACAGACAAAATTATGACACAAATTCGATAAGAATGTTACAAGGATATATACAAATTATAAAAGAAAAACAACACTAGTTTCATTATATTTGAAGTTGAAATATTTTTGTTATATTCCTATTGAACACGTCACATACGATTTCTTTTCATTTTAAGGTGAAATGTTGATATGTGGCTAATATTCATAGCTGTATTAAAAATGAAAAAATGAAATATGAATTTTAAATGAAAATGGCATAAGTTCATTGTCTCTATTTTGTAACCTATACGGGGTTTTCTTCTCTTTCTTTTTTCTTCTATATTTTCTTATTTATTAAATGATAACCTTCAATATGTTTTTATTATATCTATCAATATACATATATATCGTGGAAATGAATGCTGAATAGAAATTATCTTATTATTAAAGGAAAGTACTGTAAACATTGAAGCTAGCTTGCAACAACACAAGCGCTGACTGCCTTTTCTACGAGCAAAACATATTCTTGCTGGTACATTGGTTTCATTGGTTGCCTTTTCCATTAAAATTCGCGTCGGTGTTTCGTCGTACAAAAATCAATACAAACCAATTAAAGAATAATGAATCTTATTTGTCACGTACCGAAAACACTTCACATCAGAATTTGAATATGTATGACGTAATTTGAATGCAATTTTAGACGACAGAATACAAAAAAATAATAATTGAATAAAGAGAAAAAAAGAAACGTAAATATAGAAATAGTGTGATTAATTTATAAGACTTTCATTTGAAAAAGCACAACTTTGAAAATTCGTTTGCAATTAAATTGTAAATTTTAGTAAAGAATCGATATTTCAGCGACTGATTGCATCAATCCGTATGTTCAATAATTATTCTTTATTAAATATTATTTCATGTTATATACTAAACTTTATAATAGGTGTCAGAAGTGTATATACATATATACATATACATATATTTTAAAAGTCCTTGTGTAGGATTAAGATAATGAAAAAGTAACAAAAACAGTGGTACCGTCTCTTAGCCTTTCACCTCTTATAAGGTTCCTCAGAATACTGTTTTACTATATATATAGAAGAAGTCCAAGAAGGCAGAAAGGCCTAGCGGACGATCTGAAAGATTTATGTTTTTATTCTATATTTTTCTTCGCAAGGACTTATTTCTTCATTATCTACTATATATATTTATATGAACCATTTATATAGTTTACCTCTTGAAACCAAACTTTTTTTAATCCGAAAACCTACATTAATCAGACTTGAGTAACACAGTGTAAATTAAACATTTGGTATCAAGCCTGTCTATTTTTAATCATATTTTCTGGATGTTCGATTAAACAGGTTTAATATTATACTTTTTAATATTTATTTATCGCCAATTATAATTATGTACTAAATGTGAAGAATTTAAGATACTTAACATATCTTCAATCATTTTCCATAATATGGTGCAGATCTGTATCTGTTCTTATATGTGTAAGTAAACGTCACTTTATTTAAGCAGTTTTGACATCATACATGTGGTTGTTTATAACCATACATTTTCATGAAGTAACAGGTTTTTTTTCTATACAATATTGAATATAAACAATACGTTGATTTACCTATTAAGATATACTTATAAAGCAAGATCGATATTTAATCAATAGTTATATTTATATCACAAAAAAGTACCACAATACAGATCATAATTAATAACCTTCGATCAATCAATTCAGATAACTAAGTTTTATTTCAGTAACATGAAATTGACCTCAATATTGATGTAACCTACTTCTAGATCTTAAAAACAAATCTGAAAATTAGTTTGTTCAAATGACAAAACTTTGCAACTGAACTAATTTGTGGAATTTACAAACAATTATCGACCGTGGGTAAATACATGTAAAACAATATGTCAACAACAAACAACAACATAATGGATCAATTAATTGTAAGCTTGTTTTACCCGCCCATTCATTCATTAATTATTTCAAACCAATTGAATACAGGTACCCCTAAATAGGGCTAATTACTACTTATCAATCTTATCGAGTTTCAAGACACAATTAAATAAACAAGCATATTAAGTGTATTGTAATCTGACAAGAGTATTGAGTTAGACGACATCATTCAGTAAAACTACCATAAATGGTAAAATTTGATAAAAACCGTATCTATTCTAGCCTTGACATGTTAATCTCCCTCTAACGCACGACAGGGATACTATCAGGACTTATTATTCTAAGTTACTTAAGCTTGAAACTTTAAAACGAAAAAAAAACAACATTCGAATCCAGAATTTCTTTCTTGTGAAAAACGTATATACCTTTTAAAGGTTAAATTGATGTCAATATTATTTGAGTTAAAACACTCGCCCAATGCGCATCCTGTTACAAGATTGAAAAAACGAAAGAAATATCGCAAATCCAAATTTGATGTGAGTTTGTCATTCAGCTGACAATACTGTCCTTAATCTGGTCCTGGGAGATAAGCTAATGAAACAGTATTAGCAGATGGATATGTGACCATGCTAAATAGACGGCGGTAAGGTAAGTACCACACCTGACTTTGATCAGTGTTCCAACCCTGAAACAGCACTGCCCCCTACGGATTGTGAACAAGGCACCCTTTTGAAAGGACGACACCGAAACGTCTTTGGTTCCTTACAGCGAACCTTTGAACCGATATTTTATTATAGCCAAACACGACCTTTAAGAAAATAAACTGAGTGCATGTTGAAAGAAAGCATTGGTAAAGTGTTCAACGCTCGCTTCTCTGTCTTATAATTAGCAATACTATGAGAAAGGTTATACATCAATTGATTAATCGATTCTGGTGCAAGAGGCTCTGCGCTTCTAGGTGCCATATTCGAATCAAAGGTTAAGCAAAAAAACATTTGGATCAGAAGGTAGTTTAGCTGTTAAGGCCTGCATCATATATACTATAATTATACAGTATGGCTACTCTTAGCTGGACGGTTGACCTGTGACGGTTACATGTGGGTATGAAGAGGGTTCACAGCTGGCTATAATTGTCAGGTTGTGTGCCTGGGTTCCTCCCCTGTTAACCAAGAATAAGTGATATTTGTGTTATCTTATATAACCTCTAGGTGACCACACACGTGCACACAAACGACCATTTATATATTTATATATAACAAGACACTAAGTAATCACGGATGCGATGGAAAGTACATAAAATTCTGTCGGATCGTAATTATTTTTCATTTCATCGCTGGTAAAATAACGCTAACAAAATGTTCAAGGTTAAGGTTTCAAACTAGTTTTAGTTTGCAGATGAAAAATGTGTTTATTAAATAAGAAATACTTTTGACGTGTTTAACCATTTGCTTGGGTTTTTTTACATTTTAAATCATTGCTACCGATTTGTTAAGTAATTAAAATTACAGTTTCGTGAAAAATATTCATTTATCGCTTAGAACATTACAAAAAATTACATCGATTTCTTTTATTTCAACAAGATCGTCCAAATCTACTGAGACAAAGGTGTTTGTCCACACTGTACAAATATACGGAGATGGGTACCTTTTATTTAATGAAGTTTTAATGATTCAAATCTTTTTTTAAATGAAACCAACAATTATTTGTTTGTCTACAAACTGTCTGAAAGGTTAATGAAACATTTATAAAGGTATATAATAGATGCAAAAGTGAATACTGTATAGAAATATGATTATAGAAAAATGGGGAAAATGGTGCCACAAATCGTTAAAACGGAAGTACTAAATGGTCCCTATAGTTGGTTCGTAATTCCTATAAATATTTACATCATTATGATAAGGTTGCTAGTCCATTAATGGTGAAAGGCAGCGGATCTAAATGACAGCAATTATACCGCACATTAGCTGTGGAAATAGAGATGGGCCCAATTGTTTTTCACGTATTTCATTATGTACATATTTACTTTTCTCGACGATCACTTACACCCTTGTTAAAGACAAAAAGGTGTGTAACCAACCGAAATGCACTCGATGGACAAATAAAGACCTGCAATTCTCTGTTATTAAGGTGCTTGAAATCTATATCAATAGGGTCACGTTTTCCTGAGCTTAGCTTCATCAATGAGGAGAGAGTCTCCTATTGGATCACTTAACGTGCACGTGTGAGCTTTGTGTAAGTATGAAAGCTTGAGTATGCGCTGGAGAGTTTCAAAATGCATAGACACTTCAAGAACTTCCTTAACTGTTCAAATGGAATACATGCATTGATGGGCACTATTGAATAATTTTGAATATAATGCGAATTGTTAAATCTGAATTTAGTTTGTTTATTTATTAGAGCTACCATTTCCATTGTTATTTATTGACAGTGATTGATTTTAATAAATCTTTATTTTATCCAGTAAAACCAAACAATTTCATTTTTTTTTCTAAAATAAATCCTTTCAAATAAAGTTACATGTGAGTGTTTTCAAATTATTTGCATAAGATTGCATTGGTATGAAAAATAATACTATATAAACATCATTAAAACATTTTGTTTATTTTTAATTTCAATTTTTAGCATAAAATACATATAAATCCTTAACAATGACGGGGACAACTTGTCTATAAATGCAATTGTTGTATTGAATGATTTATTTCTATTGGAAATTGGATTGTCACTCGCAAATATTTCAAAAGATTATCTCATGGGATCAGCCAAATATGAATAAAGCATTTGCTTGTAATTGAACAAGAAGGTGACAAATTGGTCAAAATCTGCCACCCAAAGTGTCACCAGAAATATTCACGTTAAAATGCAAACGACGTGATGGCAAAGGTTTAATCAAGTCGCGTGTTTGAGATCATTACAAACAGATCGGATACTTTCTAATTAGGGTATTTACTTGCCTAAGTTTGATTAGATCACGTGCGCGTAAAATTGTTACAAATGAATAGATATCTCCATTATCTGGGTTTTCACAGGTATTTTACAGGATTTCACAGGGGTTACAGGCCCGTGGATATTGGCCTTAAAGCTCCTCCTCTCTAATGGATGTGTGGTATCAGCTACTTTGGAGATTTGCCATCAATCAAATTAGTATGGATATTCAATTTCTTTTGTTCGTGGTTTCAAAAAATGATATCTTAGTGAAATAATTTTAAAGTGTATGGTTAGCTTTTTGTCACAAATGGATTGCGATAGAATTAAGTTGAGAGTACTTTCGACAGCCGGAGATTTATCTCAGATTTTCCATTGCTACTTTGGTAATTCATGCTAATTTCTATGACTTGCCATTTATTTTGTGTAACACATTATGTTGTGTCCATTATATCAAGGAAGCCTAATCGTAAGTGTTTCAATAATATTCATATTTTAGCATAACATAACAAAGGTATCTTTGTATCAACTTAGGCAGGAGATGGCATATCTTCATTCTAAAACCTAACGATTCTCCGTGTGTTGATTTCGTCCCATGAGAACAATAGTTTCCAAAATAATCAGAAATATGTTTTAACAAAATGTACGAAAGTAGGAGAAAATTCTTATAAAGTTAGTGATTGGTCAAAAATGACATTTCTATTATGAAGTGTCAACATACACATGAATCGTTTGATCTGACATGCTATCCATTAGCTCATGATGCATTACTTAGAAAGAAATAATGTCCTCTGTTATGACCATCGGTTCACATGGCTGTGGCATTTAAAATTAAATTGTGGCAGGAATCATTTCAATTAAATGTCATTAAAAGGTACTACCAAACGTTTTCACTTTTATAATCTTCATTGCTCTCCATCCCGCGTAATATAAAGAAATGATTTCTTTAGCAATTTATAACACCGAATTATCCGTAACACTCTTTCACCCCTCGAGGGTACCGACATCTGATCAGTGAGCTTTCCACTTAGTACGGCCTCAATATGATATTTTTTCGTACTTCAAAACGTTTTATCAAATTTGTTACACATAACGAGTTGCGGTTCATTGAGTATGATCGTCCAACAATCTTTGTGTTGTTGAAAGAAAATAAACGCACATTTCTATTGTAACACTTTTATTTGACCACTGAATATTTCATTTAAAGTACACTAATTTCCATTGACAGGATCGCCAGTTGTTTCTCTTTGTTCTTGCTATCTTTTAATCATTCTGTTAAAAGAAGAAATTGGTTTTCTACAGTCAAATCAGAGCACTTGAAGTCGTTATGGCTTCATATGCATTGATTAAATTTGATATTGATACAAAAACATAATTGATAATAACAATTAAGGTCAGGAACAGAGTGTTATACACTAGAATAACGTTTTCTTTAACTAGAGTTTATTAAATGTAAACACAGGTCACCAAGCAAGGAAGGTGTGTGGACATTCTCTTTGTTAACTGGATTCGTTGTTTGACAAAAAATCTTGTTTATAAAAAGAGTTCTACAATAAGTAAACTTGAACCATGCACCAGTATAAATGATTGGTATGAATAGTATTATCCAGAGTATTAATATGTGATTGATACAAAACTTCCCCTTTTAAGCCTAAACAAGTGTAGTACTTTAATCATAATATGCAAGAATCCAAATACTAAAGTGATAAGGAACCAAAAATAGTACAACATAAACGTTATTTTGTTCAAAAGCTCTTTTAGTAAGTCGACATAAGTTTTGAAAGTTAACCTAATATGCAATACTCAAAATGATAATGTGATCAAGACCCAGCAGTAGTATAAAGATAACCCTTTTTTCAAAACAAATCGCTTTGTTTGTCTAAACAGTTATTTCAATTAAATCATAATATACAATACTCAAACCACCAATATGGCCATGAACAAATAGTAGTATATAATTGGTTCAAATGTTCAATGTGTAAGTCTTAATACGTATTGCACTTTCGTGATAGTGTATACATTAACTATATGTTGATGTAAATATGAACCTCATTAACACAAATGTTAATAAATAGTATCTTTCAATATCGTTTTCCGGGATAAATTATCTTGATGACGTCATAACCAACAGACAAAATAAATGCTCTTATTCGACATGAGAAGTCACCAACCGGAATCCAATTGTATTCAAACATCATGCTATTTAATTAACTGTTCATCCTAGAGTTTAGTTGCTTCACTCCTATTCTATAATATACTTTGAATCACTGTACTGACAATCTATCAAAGTTGTGCGATATTTGGCGTAAATCCAGGGGAAGCGTAAATCGCAAATTCAAGTATCTTCCAAACATATATTTTCTGACATGTTTAAACAGAGTGGTTTCTTTCCGTTTATTCCTTGTTTTGTGAATTCCACTTATTGCCAATCGTCGTCTTTCACGACTGAAAGTCTAACTGAAAGTGTTAGCGGTATAATTTATGAAGAGCGTTTGAAATATAGAGTCGTTTAAAGTGCAAATGGTAATGATTGAAGTGCAAAGTCTTATGGAAATGTTTGCAATAATCTCTATATTGTGATAAGTGTGGCATGATGGTATCAAATTAAAAGAACATGTATATTGCAGGACATTGTGGTAAGCTGGACATTTTTGTATCAAAACAAACGCTAAAATAATAATTTTGGCAATTTGTACTTTCTCCTTTTCTTGTAGCAAATGAACAAGAAACTCTAAAAATTAAACACTTTATTTTGTGAAAGCGTGTGCAGTAATATTTTGTTCTTTAGAATAACCTGTATGTGTTCATATTTTATAGAAAATAACTGCTGAAAATGAAACAATCAAAAGCTAACAAAGTTTTAGATTTAAGGAAGTCCTTGTATCATCAGAGTTTACATAATGCAGATTTACAATGAAGAATATTTTACATTTGCGCAACTTTGCATACACAGCGCATATATGGATATATATATATATATATATATAAATATATGAAACCTGTCACTATCTTTGCCACCAGGGTGTGGGTATTACCTACCCTAGGCTTGTAATGCACTGCTATAGGACATCTCATATGTTAAAGGTGTGTTAGCCATAGGCATATGTCTACATAAATACATGTACCTACACCAATAGTCCTAGTCATGTATCGGAACAACTGTTAACACGCTCGTTAAATACATTTTTACTACACACTGTTTGCTTTCGAAACCTGCACGGCGCGTCTTCTTTGCCTTGCTAAACGTTCATCTTGTAAAATGATATGAAATTGACACTTCCTCTTCAAAGTTTATGGAAAATTTAAATTAACTAAGTAATGTTGATTTGATATTTCTTTTGTCATCAATATATCTCAATACAGCATGTAATTGGGTTGAGAATGACCAAATAGACATCTAAATGAACAATAAATTTAATAATATTTGCATATTTCGGAACACAACATTATTGTTGCGATGGAACTCATGATGAAGATATTTTATTCTTTATATAAGTATAATGGATTAAAAATATATTTAAATCGATTTCAAGAAGAGTAATGTGCATCGTCAATTTCCTATTAATATTACTATTAATAAAATCAGAAACTTACAGATTCTTAGTTTTCGTGATTTAGTGGTTGACCATATTGCAATTTTACATTAAGTATTTAGATTATAATGAAATTAAATTTATTAATAGACAGATCGATTGAAATTAGATTCGTAAAGTCACATTTAAACCTGATTTGTATCATGATCAATTCATGATTATTTTTCATATATCAAATTATCAGTTGCATTTATTCATTGTCATAACTTATACTTCGATATTGCATTGTCTTAAGCTTTAATAAAGTTTTGTGGTTGAAATATTTATCAATACAGAGCACAAACTCGTCTTTAGTAATACAAAAGGATACTATGTAAATATTAATATTCAATATAGATGAATAATCAATTCAGCAGAAATTAATGCAAATGGTTAAGTTTATGGCGGTCGGAACTTTCTTTGATTATTTCAATATTTAACCTTTATTTGCAATACCTGCTTTTTCCATTTATGCTGTAATATATATATATATATATATATATATATATATACATATATATATATAAACAAATACATAAACTGTATATATTTTTTTCATTCTAACGTTATAAAATAATGTTTAAGTATGCATAACATATATCGAAGGATTCCTCGTATGCTATTAAATTCTAATAAATTCATTGTATATAATTACATACTGTGTATTATTTCAGCAATTTATACAACGTCAAATGAATTGGACGGGATGCCTGGTCTGTCTAAGTAAGTTCTTTCTGAACTATACCACATATAAACACATCAACATGTATGAAGACATGATTAATTGATATGATAGAATATAAAAGATCCTACATCAATTCTAGTTCAAACAACACCAAAGGTGCAATAAAATGATATCTTTATCATCTATTATATTATCAAGTATGTGTTTTATCATTTTTCCTTCAGGAGATGCATTGCTCATTACTCATCCTAATCCTTTAGCAATGAGCAAGCGGCGGGTCGGTAAAAAGAAGAAGAGGATACATAAACTAGTAAAACGTCACAAGTAAGAAGACCAAATAATCCAAGTAATTAGTACTCACAGATTTATTACAGCTCGTGAAAGAGATATCACAGCTCCATGACGTAGTATTAATTTTAGTGCTGCTAGACAATGGGATGACCTGTCCCCTGGTCTTTGAAGGTCAGAGCCGACCGGCCAGCCTATTGTTCGCGCAGCACCGTCGGTGTGTAGGTGGAATGTTCAGTGATACACTCAGGTGTAAATATGTCACCTAAGGTATCGAGACATGCATAAATAATGACCATCATTACATCAGCGTAATGCTTTTTATCTTTCTCTTTATATTTTTATTACCAGTCATTAAGTGTTATGTATATATTATAATAGGTATATCGATGGGAGGATTAGATAATGTTTACCAACAACCTGTGATGTCATTGTCCACTTTAATTCAACTCTTTTATCACGTTAAACCTTAAAGCCCGTTGGTTTTTACATACATTTCACAAGCTGACATAATTGTATCGACTCTACATTCTGCTTGTCCTCGTGTATTGATCAAGTACTATTTTAATACATCATTGGAAGTTTTATTTTCAGAAATCCATTGAGTTATGAAAACATTCAACTTGAGATCTTTTGTAGGAATATCCTATGCGGATTCTTACGGTTTGAAGGTTTTTGATTTAAACTACGAAATATAGCAAAAAGAGTGTCCATCAACTTTTAAAAATAAATAATAATGAACTATCCCTTTACGATTCACAGACAAGACACAAATATTTATATCATATATGAAAATTGCTGAACTCGATTATTTCACGACTCTGGTAGAAAAAGTTTCATCGACCGTTAAAAATTACCTTTAAAAATAAAATAATACCATCGAGTGATATTTGAAGAAAAAATATTTCCTGACAACTCTGTTCGAAAAGATTATTCTTCTCATAGGTGAAAGCGGGTTGAAATATATTTTTAATCGATTTCAAGAGGAGTCGTGTGCGTCATCAATTTTCAATTATTATTACTGTTATTAAAATCAAACACATATTTTCTTAGTTTCCGTGATATAGTGGTTGTCCATATTTCAATTTTATATTAATTATTTAAAATTTTGATAAAATAAAATGTATTAATAGACGGATCAATAAAAATCGGATTCGTAAAGTCACATTTATACCTGATACGTTTCATGATCAATACATGTAATTTCCCATGTTGCAAAAGAAGGGAGTAAAAGAAAAAAGATTTGAATACATTTTATTAGATCAAATTATCATTTGTATTTATTCATTGTCATAACTTATATTTGTGCTGTTTCATGGAATGTTTTAATTTTGTAAGTTTTGTTGATTAGATCATAACAACATTTTTGCTATTTGGAAGAGACGCGTCTTATTGTATATCATTTGCATCACGTGAACAAATGAAGGCTATTGCAATATGCAACCAATTGTTTTGACACATGATTGCTAAAACAGTAGTTTACCTTTAAGGAAGTGTAGCAGGAAAATATGCATATATACTGAGTTAGTTTCGTATCTTTCAAACATCCTTATCCAACAACAATTGATATCATATCATATATGCAGTAATTGCTAATCTCGATTATAAAACGCCTCGGGGAGAAATAGATCCACTATAGTTCAAAACAGCTAATTTATTTGAAAATTTGTTTATTTATTGAAAGTGACTAACCTATTACTTTTATTTCTTCATAAAGACTTATCAAAGTGCATGCATAGAATTTTGAGCATGGCTGGGTTGACTAAGGTCATGCGTAGACAGCCCTTTCCATTAGAGATGTTTCATTATACACTTACGACAGCCCCAAACGGACCTTCATCACCTGATTCACCACTTTGTTGTAGACAACGTTTTCTGCCGGAGATGTTTCAATTTACGCCGAAACAGTCCTTACTTCATAATCTTATTCTCCACTAAGACGTAGACAGCGCCTATTATTGGAAATGCTTCAATTTACGCTAGAACAGTCTTGCCTTCATCACCTGATTATCCACTTTGATGTAAACAGCGCTTTATATTGGAAATGCTTTAATTTACGTTGAAGGCAACCCTACCCTCGTTCCGTTGTTCTCCATTATGATGTAGACAGCGGGTTATTTTGGAAAAGGTTCAGTTTGCGCTGAGGACAACCCTACCTTTGCCACCGTATTCTCCTATCTTGGATTTCCGTTTTCATAGTGTCTTATACTGCTGGTGGTCAACATACTAACGAAAGGTGCCACTTGGGGTGCAGGAAATGTTTACTGTTCCAGAACGCGTTTCTCTATATCTTGTTTTATTTCTGTTGATATTATTTTCTAGTTTTGGTGTCTTCCAGTTCTATTTCTGTCCATATTGACTTTGAGTACCAATATTATCCTTGTGTATTGACACTACAGCATAGCAGAGTATAGTGAACTTCAAAACTTGATTTTGCTAAAAGTGTTTTTGCTGGAATGTGTAGACAAGCAATTCCATGTTAATTGTGACTTCTGGTAATGATTAAGATTCCAAGAGCAATCAGACTTTATCCGTTTTATTTAATATGAAAATATAATCATCGATTTATGTATTTCCTTAATGTATGCGTCATTTACATCAGATGTTATTGATACAGGCATACAGCTATTCTTGGCTCAGTTGTTCGAAGTATGGTTAATTTAATTTAAATTCAAAATTTCAAAATGTGTTATTTGAAATATTTACAAATATTTCTATTTGCTTGTTTTGGACGATTATTTAAATCCTCAAACATGTTGGTGAATGGTAGAATTTAATATCTTTAGAAAACAATTAAAACAAAATCCTTTATTTTTAATGTTGTTGGTAAACTGACAAGACTTTGTTTGATTATTATGTATATTTATTCCAATTAGTTTAGCTTCGTTTCGTATTTTGTGTGATTCCGCAATTTTCACCAGTTTTAATGTTACGATGTTTGATTTGATTTCGTTTTTGGTTCTAAATTTGTAGCATTTCATTAAACTTATAACTACAACGAACTGAGCATGCTGTGATGCTTTTTTTACGGAAGGTATCGATGTCATCAATAGCAACGTTATTTTCATATCACATTATTTTCAAAATTAAATATAGGAATCTTATATATTTCTCATTATTTTTATGAAACATTTTTTTCAAATTTATATCAATTCTTCGTCCTTGGCCGGATGAAAGAGCAGGGAGTGCCTCAGGAAGGAAAGGATAACGTTGAAGGAAACCAGAATACTCGAAGTATCCCGTACGGTCGGACATGTAACCCCATTTACCTTTTTATTTCTTAAAGGGTAGTCGAACTCCGGCCGTCTTGACGACAAGTGATGAGTATGCTATATACTGCGCCATCTACCCTTGTTTTGTACATATTTTGACAAATGTTCATATGTTTTACCTATCGTCAATTAATTTCTGAATAATTCGTTAATGTTTTAATAATAAATGCAGTCAAACCTTTATGCAGTGAACATTTCAGGTAATTTGGTCTTGTAATTCAGGTTCTGAAAGTATGAAAAAAACTGATAAGACATACAAAAATACAACTTGTATACAAATTTCCATCATTTTAACTACAGGAAAAATGTTAACTAATCCAACCCTTTACCTTATCTACTACTCACTGTAAATATGTATTCAAATTCCAACAACATCGCGATACTAAACCTAGTAGCCGGGAACATATAAGTCAGTGATTGCGGAAGGCCTCGGGGTTATACATGTATTTATACAGGGTAGTATATCTTATTCAAAACTTCACATCAACCATAGATTTTCAATCAGAACACTCCCAGATTACACGGCAAATATCAACAAGTCATGCACACGAATGTACTTAAGTTACTCCAACGCACGGAAAGCACCGAGTGATTACGGAAACTACCGATTAGTGAAATTAGCTATATTGAAATTCAAAACCAAACTACATGTACATAGAGATTCAGAAAACGAAGAAACGAAAACATAACAAAAAAAAAAACCGCATATGTAAAAAAATTTCGAGCCTGAGATCGATTTATTTCATATTTGTTTTCAAAAAAAGCTAGTTGAATTGCTCAATCATTTTTCTGGATCTCAGATTTTTCGTATTTTTTACCTACTATTTCATCTTTTTCGCTGCCTTTTTCCTCATACAACCTCATTTCACCACCTAGGCATTTATTCATATATAATGTAACATTATACAGACACAGAGACATTTCGCTGACGGTAGAAAAACAGTATTTGATATTACATATATCTATTTGAAAATAGTTTTAACATTGACGCTTAGTTATCTGCTGTAAATACGTATGTAGTTATGGTTCGGAGGTGTGGGGCTTTCATGAAGCCCCCAATATTGAGAAATTAGACGTGAGCTTCTGTAAAAGGTTATCTGATGTATGCAAACAAACGCACCCAAAAGTATGGTATATGACGAACATGTGCGATTCTTATCAGGTATTTTAAGATTTTTTTGTATATTTTACTATCGTTATGTTATTTACCTCCCAACGCTGTCTGTTACAGTTTATTGTATCACTGGTTTTCTTATTAAATTCCGCCATTGTAATATGTATTGATGTAACTCTGCCTGCACTTTCAATAGTTTGCACTGTTCCGCATTCTGTAAAGCTTAAAGTAATAGAGAAATAGAATTTGAACTCTTAACGCGTCTACTGATTATCTAACGTTTTGTCTGTATGGCCTTGTGTTATTATTGTAACGATCTTCGGCTTCCTTTCCGTTTGTTTGTTTTCAGAAGGGTGGGGGGTAATCTTAGCCTCATGTATTTTACACACACTCGTCAAAAACAATACCGCCTTTGTGTGAAAAAAATAGAAAATTGTTTCACAAAGACGCGATTCGTCATATTCTTTGCAGGTTTTCTTTCATTTCATCATAATTAAGTGGGGTTTTTTTTGTTTCGTGTAATCACCTACCATTTCAAATCGATCGATCACTCGACGCAATAAAACCCTTTTTCTCATACAATACTATAATTATTGACGACATAAAACAAATATTCTTCAATATTATATTTTTTTGCACATTCCATCATAACGGAATCTTCCTTTATTCAATCTTTCATTCTCACATAATGAGCTATTATCCTGACAGGCCATGTGTTAATAATACAATAAAGACGGCATCAATGAAAAATTAGCCATACTGTCATTCTTCGTATTATATGACTTACCTCATGGCTGATCATCTTTGCTTGTGCAATCTTACCTGGCCTAATTATGCATACGTCTTATCTGTGTATGCCCCCGGGGGCTGGGAACAGTTATAACCATGTGTAACTGACCGATTAGGGAACCGATGACCAAGGGGCATCGCAAAACAAAACTGTAAACACGACTAAAACGTATTGTAGTGCAGGGGTCACCTGGTACATAATATAAAAAAACGTTACTTGAGGTAAACAGATTGTTCAAAATAAGTTACCTTGAATTTAGATTATAGAAATAGAGAAAAAAAGATTTTTAAATAAATAAAAAAGTAAAAAATCAACAGTTTCGGAACATTTGTAGGGTGGTTTCTGTCGTTTTTTGGCTCTTTTGTTTGTGTGTTTGTATGTTTTTAATGAATTTTATTCCTTTTATCTAACCTTGAGTTTCTGTGTTCAAACAAATCCGAATTGGAATATCTTACACTATGTATAGCAATGTTTGACCCATTTCTATTTTGACTTTGCTGTGAAGATGACTGAACTTATTCAAGCTGATCGAAGATAACGTATCATAAACCACGTCTCAGCATAGAGTTCCTCTTCATTGAAAGACAATTTGGATTATTTTTTACAGAACAGATGCGCATATATCTAAGACAATGTTACACGTTAAGGTATTTTTTTGTTTTAATAAATGCTTTGTAAAATAATTGAAGGAAGATTTTATTTTTTTTTTATTTTTAAAAAGTGTGATTATCATATATCTTTTTCAGTTGAAATTTAGATACAACGTCCGAAAATTCTGATAGCGATATTTCCGGAAAGTCGAGCTTGATTAACGGTTTCTTTTTCTGTATTTTATCTTTTCAATTTGCTATTTTTTAGCAGCATTTAATGGAGAAAGATACAATATAACTAATCGATATCAATTGACAGTTTATTGATTTAACTCATTCATCCATGAAGACATATTTGAACTCTCCTCATGTCTGTGGTGGATGAGTTAATTTCTGTCTTTCACGTTTTTTGACGATAGTAAATTCACTTTTTCACTTTTGATCTTGTCGCTCCGTGTGAGGGTTTTATATTGGTCATCGCTATCTTTACATTTTTATAGACTGTAATCAAATTCAATCTGTTTTAATCACGTTTTGACAAGAAAACTAATCAAATAAGCGATCTATTCAATTTCTATTTTTTAAAGCTTTTGAAATGATGACTGATTAATATTGGATATTTTGAATTACTTAATTGTGAATGGATTTTTCAATGTGTCATTAATTATGATGACAAATGATAATAACTTAAGTTTTTCTATGAGGTGTTTTTTAATTAATCAATCGTTCCTTCTGGTATTTGAGGTATTTGATAATATTTTGTCATAGAAAATGGTGCCTGCGTGCTCAGACAGGAAGAAAACAAATAAACACGGATGTTGTGTAATGCAATTATAAAAAACCTATATACAAGTAAACAAAACCAAAAAGTACAATAAAAAAAATTGAGTAGAGAAAGAGAGTTTGGTTTCGATTTTTCTTTTTGTTATTGTTTTTGTTTTACCAGCTGGAAAGTATAACAAAAATAATGTATATATCATATGTCGACGGAAACGTCATATGACCACAGGTGTATTGAGAGGTACCATGGGAACGATGGCAATAAAGATACAACACATAGCACAGCAGTGGGATACCAGCACAGTAGATGACATGACATATACAAATCAAAGAACGACGTGTGTCGAGGAAGACATCATAGAATGATAGCAAAAAATGGAGAAATAACACACACGCCATAAGCCAACGGGTTTTAAGAGATATTCTTTGGGAAACTAGCAATAAAGAAGAAAAACAAAGCACAAGCCATATAACATTTGGTTTCAAGATAAGTACCTGGTGATGGTTAACAAAAAGGAGAAAAACAACATACCACTAATATGAAATTTGGTTTCAAGATTTGTACCTCAGGAGGGTTAGCAATAAAGTAGAAACCCAAAACACAAGTGACATGACATGGGGTTTCACGATAGGTACCTTGGCAAGTTAGCATTAAAGTAGAGAAATAACACACAAGTAATATGACATGGGATTTCAAGATAGGTACCTTGGCAAGTTACCAAACACCAGTGAAATACCACACAAGTAATATGACATGGAGTTTCAAGATAGGTACATTAGGAGGGTTTGCAATGAAGTAGAGAAACAACATACACGACATACCACAACGGGTTTCAGTATGGGTACCTTGGCAAATTAGCAATAAAGTAGAGAAACAACATCCACGCCATACCACAACGGGTTTCAGTATGGGTACCTTGGCAAATTAGCAATATAGTATAAAAACCAACATTCTGGTAATTTGACAACGAATGCCTGGAGAGTCGTATGTAGAATAGAAAGAGGGTAGAAAAAGAAGTATTTCTGCAAGTAGAGGGCACAGAATCAAACTCTAATTATTTTCGGATCCCTGGCCATAGTATCTTGCTAAGACCACTGAGTAAACAGGAATGAGCATAAGGTAATGTAAAACAAAATGGAGTATCCAAAAGTAGCCGTTCAGTTAGTTTTACTTTCTACGATGTCTCCTTCAGCAGATGTCACGAAACAATAACCCCATTGGATACACATGTGAGTCGCCTCGTGCGATCATGAAGTGAGTCAATCAACATAAAGAGTTTACATCAATATTCTGTTAATGTAATTGACTAAATACACTGAATGTATAATAATTTTACATTAAATTTATATTAATAGTTTCTTATTCCATAATTTACATAAAACACAATTTCAAGAGCATGGATATTTCTAAATTTCGAGGAAGATACAGAGATTTATGCACAAATATATAAGTGTAACAATGAAAGATAGTCGAAGAAATTGTAATAAACTATTGAAATTAAAATCCGGCGAGTTCTAGGAAATCACAAAATTTTGTTTTTATCAATCTATGTAGTTGGATAAACATACATTTGCTGAAGGCAAACTTCTTATGACATATTACACTCGTATATCATACAACACTCGATAGGTTATCAAGTTTACTGCCCTTTCGTTTCTTTTGGGGGTGGCTTGTTTACGCCACATATGTTAATTTCACAAATTCTCGGTTATTAGGAGAATGTTAAAGATGGCATAAGAAAGATCGAACGCGCCTTCTGGGTAATGAAAGATAAGGATACATAGACACGTGTTTGTCAGAGGTTGTATATGCTTACAGTCTACTCTTCTCCAATGCAAAGTTTCCAAAAGCATCATGGGAAAAATATTCTTCCGGATACAAATGAATGACGACCATGTTTATTTCGTTGTTCTATCAAAATAAATATATAAATCAAGCAAGAAATTTGGTTT